TATGCTAAACCCTGCAGGTGGATTTATTCCGGCATAATATGAATACTATGAGCGAGCACTAGCTTTGGTAATATAATATATTAATTAATTCTTGATTATTAGTGATCGAATTAATTAATGGAAATTATATCTTAAATATGGGGAGGTAAATCGGATAATTATAATAAGGAGTCCCAAATGTAATTTGGGATAGGTGAGGGGAGTGCAATAATATTATTGTGGTGGACTTTAATATTATTAATATATTAATTGTGGGGTTGCTCCATAGTATTAATATATTAGAAGCCCTTATCCTATTCTCCTTAGGGTCCCTACTGTAGCTCTATATATACAGCATTAGGCTCATGGAAGAAGAATAGAATTCCACAATTTGGAAAAATCGTCCGCTCCCTCTCTCTCTCTCTCTTCCTACGAGTAGTTCTATTTCTTGTGCTCCACTGATACAAGATTTAGATAGCTGTTTGAGAATACAGTAGAAGATCTTAAGGTATATACGGGATTCCAATCAGATCTATCATACATCCAAATCGGAGACCAAAACTAGCAAGTGACCATACCACGACGACCAGGACGACGAGACGTAGAGATCACCGTCGAGATCGCCGCCAGCCGCCGCCGCACGCGCCCGCACGCGCCACCGGAAGGTTGCAGTAGCTGGGACTTACTCGCGCGCGTGAGAGCGCGTGGATCCTCCGTTTTCCGATCGGTCAACGCCGTTGACTTCGCCATGACGCCAGCTTTCTGGATTGGTCAAGTTTGTTCGATTCCGAGAAGATTTGATTTGCGGTCAACTGTTCGGGCCAGCCAGATCTACATAAATTTTAAGCAGTAAGTTTTCTTCATAAACCTTTAGATCCGCTGCGCATAGGTTTATGTTGAATGTTTGTCCGTGATTTGTGCATATCGAGATCCTCATGGGTTCAAACATCGACCCCACTATTATGGAGCATAAACTCAACGTCGACCCCCTCAGAAAGCCAGTAAAACAACGACTTAGACGCCATGGTGAAGAAATCGGCAAAGTAATTAAAGTCGAGGTGGACAAGTTGCTGCGAGCAGGGCACGTCAAAGAAATCCAATTTCCCGAGTGGATATCCAACACCGTGATTGCGAATTACTGAGTATGATGGATGCATCCCAAGGATACCACCAGATTCCGTTATGCCCAAAGGATCAAAGTAAGGTGAGTTTCGTGACGAATAAAGGGACGTACTGCTATGTCGTCATGCCCTTTGAGCTTAAGAATGCTGGAGCAACCTACCAACGGCTGATGGACCGAATGTTCAAATCTCAGATCGGGCGAAATATCGAGGTATATATGGATGATATTTGGTGAAGAGTAAGGCCTCAACCTCACACCCAGACGATTTAAGGGGAACATTTCAAACCGGGAGATTCCTGGGGTATATCGATATTTCGCCCGATCGAGGATGAAGTTGAACCCAAGTAAGTGTGCCTTTGGAGTAAAGGCAGGACGATTCCTGGGGTATATCGTCACAGAGCGAGGAATCGAGGTAAACTGGGAGAAGGTGAAAGCCATACTCGACATGGCCCCACCGAGAAATATAAGAGATGTGCAAGTTCTAACGGGACGAATTGCGGGGCTAAGCAGGTTCATTGCTGGAGCCGCAGAAAAAATCTTCTCGTTCTTCAAATTACTAAAAAAGAGGTCGACCTTCTCATGGAGTGACGAAGCACAAATGGCCTTCGAAAAATTAAAAGAATTCTTGGGCGAGCTACCCTTGTTGACAAAACCAGAGCCCGGCGACGAGTTAGTACTTTATATATCTGTGGGTTCAGTATCACTAATTTCGGTGTTATTGCGAGAAGAAGGAGGTGTCCAACAGCCAATTTACTACACCAGTCGAGTTCTTCAGGGTGCAGAAACAAGATATTCTGAAATCGAGAAAGCCGCCTTGACACTAGTGGTAACGGCTAGAAAACTAAGGCCATATTTTCTGAATCATATGGTAGTGGTTAGGACGAACTTCCAGTTGGGTGAAACATTGGGCCGACCTACGGTATCAGGTCGACTCGTTAAGTGGGCAGTCGAGCTGAGCGAATATTCTATCAAGTACGA